GTACCGCCGACGACAGGCGCTTTTTCCGGTCCCCCATTCTGCTGGCTGACATTTATGTTGGCATTAACATTCGCGTGAACATTGGCGTTAACATTGTTCACGTTGTCGGTAAGGTTCGTATTTCCTACACCGGCATCCCCACCAGTGCCAGTTCCACCCCCGCACTTTCCTTCCTCGCCCGTCATCACTTCAGCCTCACCCTCCGCCGGTTCTCACCCCTGTCTCACCGTTTCGCGTTCCACGCCTCGAGAGCCTTGCTTCCGTTCACTGATTACCAATGTCGGTCCGCTGGCCAGAATCCGGATATATCTGCTCAAACGAGACGACGAATCGTTGATCAAGAGAAATCCGGGTCAAATCTGTCGCGGATCGATCGGCTAATTCTTCTATCAAATCTTATTCGCCCATGTCTCTCTTGTTCTCTACTTCGTTCCTGTCACTTTCCCTGCTACCCACCGCATCTATACGATATCGATCCCACTGCTGGTGACAAAGGGCAAGCTTTTTTGCCTCGAAAGCAACTTGCCTCGAAAAGAAGACGACGATCCATGTATGTTCGCAGCGACTTCTTCTTCGAAATTAAAAAAAACGAGAAGTGACGCGAGAAATAATTAATTATTCACAGACGAGATCGAAAGACCGTGTGTGGTGTGTGTGTATATATATATATATATATCGTGAAGCAAAAGTAAAAACTGAATCGACTCCTCAGCTCGCGGCGAGATGTTGAGAGACACGTTCAGAACGATGAGAGAGAGAGAAAAAAAAAGGATTGATCCGCGATCTGACCTGATTAGCGACGTCACGTTCGAGCATGCCCTTTCTTTCGCCGACACGCTACCGAGATTCATTAGAAAATGTAGAATTATTTTCGTTCACTGGTCGCCGCTATTTTTAGGATTCTGAACGCGCGATACGGGTGGTATTATAACGGTATATGACGAGCTAGCTCAAGCACGCTGCAGGCAGACGTTGTGTTACAAGGCACATGCCGATCGGGAAACTAATCAATTAATGCAACGAGTTACTCGTTGGTGATTAAACAACCGGAAACTAAATCGCCACTGGAAGTTGCCATGTTTCCATCCACGTTTTTAATTGCATTACGCGAACTACGACGACCACCACTCGATCACGGTTTAATTTTAACCAATTTTCAGGAAGGCCGGTTTCCACTGGCGTTACCGAACCAACGACAAAGCTGCCTGTGTAAAACCTCTGGCGTAGACCAATCCACTCACGGCGGGCTGACTATAGGAAACATAGCTGCCGTTCATCGGGAGAAACTGGGCAAAATAGTTTCCGGTAGCTGCGAGGTGCTCGAGTAATCGTACATGTAGCTCTATCGTCGGTAGTGGAACCAGGGAAAATCGATTCGGCCGTGCCCGTTTGAGCACTGCGCGCCTCTCAAGTGTACGAACCACCGCGATAAAAGCAGTCACGTCGCGCGGGATCGTTCGTTTTGACTTTCGACGTCACGTAAGTAACGTTTCCACGCGATCTCGATATACCAATTCACTCGGGATTCACTCGGACGCGAGTGAATTTTTTATCCAGTAACAATAGTTGGAATAGACGTGAATTTAACGAAACGTTCTTTAACTATATTCCACTAAAATGTATCAGTCTCTCTTAGTTTTGCACGATATGAAACAAAAAGATTGATTCTAGAGTTCAAACGATTGACATTCAAACGAGAAAAGGATAGAAACAGGCATATTTGACGCTTTGTGATGCTAAGGGATTAACGTTACATTTAACCCTCTGTACAAACAGCGTTACTGATAGAAAACGTGCGACGAGAATAAAGTTTCGATGCAAGTTCATTCATTAAAAACGTACGCAAGTTTCAAAAACAGATTTTATAAATCAACACCGGAGACCGATGGAAAATGGACTCCCCATATTTCTCTAAAGCAGAAATTCCTGCCTCGGGCTATTGCCCGAGTCACTCTGTATACATATATCGACTATGCCGGCTTTTTAGTTTCTTATTCCCTATAAAATTGTACGTTACATCTGGCAATCAGCATTGAAATGTTTCTGCAAACTTCGTTTCTCCCTATTTTCATGACTGAGTGCAGCAAACACCGTCTACGAAAGCGGGGGTCAATTCAACTTGTCGAATAATCACTTTTTAATCGAATCCTGATGCATCGAAAAATGACGCGACTAACCAGAGAACTACAGGGTGTTGTGGCGAATGTACTTAGGATACTCCCGAATACCAACCACAGAATACCGAGGCACTTTTTCCATCAAGTGTTTCTTCACTGTCAAATCACACGACGTTCCGTCATTTTTCTGTTTCTTTTTTTTACTTTTGTCGTTGCGCGAACCGAATCATATATGCGTGTATGTATGTGTGTATATATATATATACATATACTACTCGAAAGGTTTCCGTCTGTTTAAGAAAGTTACGAGCGTAACGCGACCACCCTCCCAGAAACTCCGTACGGCTTTGATCGGTTTTGTAACTTTGATGGCGACGAGTACGCTCGAAGCGACGCCTGGTGATCATGTTCCAGATGCGCTCCGACTACCCCCTCTATTCAATTGAGCTTCCCGATTATCACAGCTACTTCACAGAATATACAAGAAATTTGATCCTTTTTCAATAGGACGATGTTGAACTACGAATATTCGAAGTTATATCGCACGAAATCATAGAACATGTTTGTCTAACGAATCCAACAGTTAGATAAAATATTTATTTTATCTTTTGGGCAATGTCCCAAATATTAATACCGATGGAACGATGCTTTTACTTCTGATCAATCTAATGGTTATTAACTTCATTACCAAGCTTTATTATTACAATTATTTTTACATTCAATTACATTGTATTGTACAATATATTTATTGGACATACATTGTTTAATAAACATTCCTCAATAATCGTATCATAAATCAATAACTTGAAGATAAAAAGTTACATTTTTACACATTTTTACGCAAAAGTCCTTAAAATCAATGCTAAAGTTTTATTGCAAGTTATATTTGCGTTCAAATGGTAATACTTTTTACTATTGACGCTTAAATACTAATGATAATATATTATATCGACATGTATATTTCATAAAATTATAAAAAAAATTATTTACTTTTTTTATACTCGTAAAATATAATAACATGTTATACTTGTACTAATTAACACATTTTAATGTGAAAAAACTAAGATAAAATTATCTTAGTTTAATCACATAGTAAACATAATATTTTAACATAAATACTATAAATAGCACCAACATGGTTTATAAATTCACATATGAAGATGTAAATTATAATTTCAGATTTCTGTTTAATTTGTTTAACTGTAAAAAAACCAAAATATGAAAAGGCTTTAAAAATTATCAATTCATATTGATATCATTTTGAAAAAGTGTCTTTAATAATATATATTAATAGCATATATATCTAATATATTTATAAAATAAAAAAACACCTAACTCAGCAATATTTTAATTCAATGAAATACTATTACACTATTATGTACATTAATATATATAATATAATAAATAAATAGATTATAGTATATATGTTATATATATTTAATGAACAATATTTGATTTACTTGTAATTCAAACTGAATTTAATTTTTAAAAAATTAGATATTATTATAATATTTCAAATTATGTACTTTTATTCATCTTTACATTGTTTAAACCTACACTTTTATGTACATGTATACTTATTTGTATATTATGTATGATGTCTTATGTTAACGTCACAAGTTATAATTTTGAGTGTATAAAAAAATTTAATGTTCAAAACTTTCAGAGTGTATAACACTAGACTGTATAACATTTGAAACCGTTTTGTTTCACCTAATGAAATTCTTTTCTATTTTCTACTTTTTCTACCGTTTCGAAGTCAGGATCCCCTGTAAAATCACATTATTTTATCTATACATTAGACGATGTAACATATTCTTTCTATGTAATATACATATAAAGTAATATATATATATATATATATAT